AGGCTGATTCATGGCTTCCAGACAAAATCAGCCTCTTCTATTTTCTAAATTTTCCTAGTGGCAGTGTTTACTTATGAACAGGCTTTAAATTATATTATGAGAGCACATTATAAGACATTTCCCGCTTTGATTGTAATGTAAAAGCAGGAAATACGTACATACATACCACCCAAATTATTATACTTAAAAGACGTAAGCGTTCTTCCATACATCATCATTTTCATTTCCTGAACCCTCACCAAAAACATTTTGAAACTCAATTGCAATATTGAGAATAAGTGAAAATTACTGTGCCACCTTAAACTGTTGTGGGTCCCGCAGCAGCAGAAACCCTCACCCACATTCCTTTTGAGGAAGAAAAGAAAGAAAACAACTGAATAGTTTATGACTTTTTCATTGTTTTCATGATGGAGAACATACAAAACTCTTGTTCATGTTGTTGCTATTCATCTTGTGTGAAAGGAAGCTGCAGAGGTCTCAAGTTAGCATTACTCTTGCAAGACCTTAAACCCAGGAATTGGAAAAGGGGGTTAGTGTAGCAAAAAAAAATCCTCTTCAGTGGAAGGAACATCTCAAGTAATAGCAGAATCCTTTTTAATCTTAGTTCCCCTGGCCATATTTCCCAGTGAAGTAAATCATTCAAACCTCTGAATAAAATCAAGTTTGAAATGTGAACTCTCTACACTGCATAATTGCACAGGGTGCTTTCTAATACCCCATCTTACATTTGCTTAAAAAATTATCTGGGCAGGTAGGCACACATCCAAGCAAGCATTCATGGTTTTTATTTTCCAAGAATTTCTGTGTCACGTATTCTTTGCAATTAAATTGATACGAGAAATTAGTGCTTTGTTTTTCAATATTCTACAACTATCTTTAAAAAAAAAAAAGTCAGTTGGGGCAAGGAACCTGGCAGGGTTAAATAATGGTGGACTTGTAGTGTATTAATTTTTTTTAGTTTGATTTGATAATGTGCCACCTAGTCAGTGCTAACTCTTAGCAACCACCTAGATAGATCTTCAGTTTGATCAGTCTCTGACTTGGCTAATCCTGTTTTTCTTTGGTAATACAGAGATACACAAGAGCTCAGAAGTCCTACTGCAAAATCTAGAATAATGTTCTTGCTGCAGAATAATTGTACCTGCTTTGTGATCACATTATTTTTATCCTTTCTATTGGATTGGGACAGCCTCCTCCCCCTGGTCCCCCCCCCCATATTTGGGCTACCCTGTCATTATTGCACTTTCAAAGAGCCTTGGAATTCTCGATCTCCAGGAAGATATATGGGGACACTTGAAGATCTTGCTGTCTATTAAAGGATGTTGTCAGGTTAGAGTTAAGTTAAGTTAAGTGTGGATTGTTCATTTTTTAATGTTATGTTTATTATCTGTGAGCTGCTTGGATTCTTCAGAAGTGGAATTGCAAACAAGATGAAGTAATAAATACCTCTGATGAACTTTGTCAGTATTGTTATGAATGTCAGTATTAAACAGTAACATTGTTTAATGAAGTGGAAACTGTCATTCATCTAGAATTCTGAGATATCATAGTTGGTCATGCTGGCTTGGGTTTCTGGGAGTTGTTGTTCTGCTACAGCTGAAGCACTACTAGGATCGCAACTTTGTAAAGGGATGTATTATTGGCCTTTACTACATTATACTCCTAGGGCAGAGTTTCCCAACCCTTCTAGCTTTGTGGACCAGCGGTGGGGAGAGGGGGATGGTTCAGCAAGTGGTGGGCAAGCACATGTGGCCACAATTCACCCAAATGGGGTTCATCTGCTTGGCCACTGCTCACACAAGTGAGGATGCACACACATACATTTGCCCACCACTTCCGTAGCCTGGTTCCAAACAGCTCAAGGCCTGGTAGTGGGCCACGGCCCAGCGGTTGGGCATCACTATCATAGGGTAATTACTATGTTTGGTTGTCCATGTCTGTAATTTCCATATCTGCTCATTAGGATTGGATCGATAGGAAAATAGTTATCTACTAGAAATACGATTCTGTCTAATGTTTTTTATTATAGGATAAGGAGAAATTAGGAATCTTTTCATAATATCTAGCTCTAATGCACTTGACTATGGGGATACAGAAGTCGTGCTATGGATGTATTAAAATACATTGATATTGCTCATTTAATCTAAAGTGATATCTGGTTATTCCTGTAACTGTTGGAACTATCACCCACATGTTAATATCTGCGTATGCATATTATTATTATTAATCATCACAGAGTCAGCCAGATGTTCAGTCTGGGTTTGGCGGTTTTGTCTATCTATTCAGTCCTTACCAAGGACTTGGGATAGGAAGATGTGGGTGTTTGATGGTATTACAGATATTATTGCAGGATGAAGGCTGTTCCCAGTAAAGCTGCCTTTTGCAATTGACTGATGGCAAATTTTTCAAGGGCAGGGGTATTCAAGTGGCGCTCCAGTTGTTTTGGGATTGCACCCAAGGCATCTATTACTATTGGTACTACCCTTGCTTGCCTTTGCCATAGTCATTCTATTTCTATTTGTAGGTCTTTGTATTTTGTTATCTTCTCCACTTCTTTTCTTCTATCCTGCTGTCTCCAGGCACTGCCATGTCCACTATCCAGACTTCTTTGCCTTTCTTATCGACAAATGTTAACTCTGGGGTGTTATGTGACAGGTGCCTGTTTGTTTGAGTTCTAAAGTCCCAGAACAATTTAACTTCTTCATTTTATATGACTTTCTCTATTTTATGGTCCCACCAGTTCTTGCTTGTAGGCAAATGATATTTCTTGCAGATGTTCCAATGCACCATTGTTGCTGCTTCGTCATGCTGCTGCTTGTAGTTAGTCTGTGCAGTCTTCTTGCAGCAGCTTACCAGTTAGTGCATTGTTTCTTCAGTCCTCTCCTCCTCCTCCTCCTCCTCCTCCTCCTCCTCCTCCTCCTCCTCCTCCTCCTCCTCCTCCTCCTCATTGTGGGGTGCTAGTCTGCAAGCATCCTATGTCATGAGAATGTGGGAACAACCCCCAAAGTAAGCCATGCTCAACAAAGAATGGCAAGGATGTGGTAAAGGAATTTAGCATTGGTAACGAGTTCCTTAAAAAAAAGTCTATCCTAAATATTTTAGCAGTGTTTTATTTTAACAATATGACGGGACCAGTCTTTCTTAGAGGTGTTTTCGTGGTAGCAGAAATGACAGCTATGATGGCTAAATGTCTCTATGTTATGATTTGTAAATAAACAGGCCATTAGGTGCTTGCTGGCTTCCTCAGAGAGAAATTTATAATAGTAGCCGACAATTCTAGGACCTATTCTGCTAGCAGTTTAGTAGCTGTTAAAGAAAAACAACAACAGTAAAACCAAAGAAAATCTCCTACTGCTTTAAGAGGCATTTGCCACTTGTCCTGATTTATCACAATCTACAAGGCATAGTATTCCAGGCAAATGTCGTACCTCAGATATCCTGTACGGGGTGCATTCCTGAAATGATAAACAAGTTTCCTGCCTCCTTCTTTCCCATTGTCAAAGGAGCCGAACTAGGAAAGATCATGATTGGCAAGCTAAATTTTGACAGTGGATTTTGTGGAAACAAGTAGGCTTTTTGGTATGTTGGGTTAAAAAAGGAGAGATCTCTGCAAAGCTGATGGTCTTTTTTTTTTTTTTTTTTGGTCCTTGGTTTCCCTTTGAGTTCAGGCTTTTCCATGCCTGCCAACATTTCAGAATCAGAAATAGGAGCGTGGTAACCTCTAGGCAAGATGAGCAGCATTCAAGTCTAATAAATAAATTCATTGTACCTTGGGCACACCTTTCAACGTTATTTTGGGTGATCTTCCTAAGCAGCACCCAGCATACTAGACATCCAGATGGTATAAATGTTCCTTGACTTAACAGCCATTCCTTTAGTGCAGTGTTTCTCAACCTTGACAATTTTAAGGCATGTGGACTTCAACTCCCAGAATTCCACAGCCAGCAATGCTGGCTGTGGAATTCTGGGAGTTGAAGTCCACATGCCTTAAAATTGTCAAGGTTGAGAAACACTGCTTTAGTGACTGTTTGAAGTTACAGTGGCACAGAAAAAAGTGACTTATGACTGTTGCAGCATCCCATGATCACATGATCAAAATTTGGACACTTGGTAAGTGGCGTGTATTTATGACAATAGCACTACCCCAGGGTCATGTGATCATGATTTGTAATCTTCCCAATCGGCTTCCAACAAGCTGAGTCAATGGGGGAAAGGGGGGAAGCCACGTTCAATTTCTTACTAATTTAACCATTGCAGTGATTCACTAACAACTGTGGCAAGAAAGGTTACAGAATAGGGCAAAATTCACTTAACAAGTATCTCGCTTCGCATTGGAAATTTTGGGCTCCATTGTGGTCATAAGTCAAGGACTACCTATATTTTGGGGGAAATTGGAAGCACTCTACTATTGACTCACATCATGGATTGCAACCTTCTGGGCCTCATTTAGAATTGTGTGAGTGTGTTATGAACTTCAATGAGGCAATTTCTCTTTTCACAAAATGGCTGCTATGGTGGGTAAGACCAAGAATAAAACTGGTAAGGTAGCTCCCACCCATCTCTGCTTGTCTTGTTCTAAGAATTCTTAAGCTGTACAGAGTCCAGAAATATACAAGCAAACCAATTTAGAAATAACATATGTCAGTTTAGAGGCAGAGCAATTAATCTTCTAACTGTTGAACTCTGAGCTATAAATATTATCTTCTATTGGTAATTTTCTAACCCTCAGATGCTTTGGCCTATAGAACACCTAGAGGGAACCAGATTGTATACCCATGTTTGGAGTATTATTTCTTCTTACTGTTCTTAAATTATGGGACATTGTAATTGAAAGGTGCAAACATGCCACTGTAAAACAGTGTGGGAATGTGACAAGAAATAGCACGTAAACCTTACTGTGCTTGAGTGGTGTTATGTTCCCCTCTGTATGCAAATTGAACTGCGTCATACCATATTACCACAAAAGATTGACATTTGATATTATTTTTTTCCTCTCACAGATACTTCCTGGTTTGTTCCTTGGAAATTTTAAAGGTAAGATGAATTTTATTAGCAGCTATTGCAAAGTACTCTGCATTGCATCCCCAACATTGTCCCCTTAGAGGTTTTGCTTAATGCTCCCAAGGAACAGTGGCTCAGATTGACTTATTTGAAAGAAATATGAGTGCCCTTCTGATCAATTTTTCAAGCAGTTTTAAATAACAAATATAAAATTAAAAACAATCTTAGCTTCAAGGGCTAATATCCTATAGTAGGGGATCTCCAAACTTGGCAACTTTAAAACTTCTAGACTTCATCTCCCAGATTTCGCCAACCAGCATGGCTGGCTGAGGAATTCTGGGAATTGAAGTCCACAAGTCATAAAGTTGTTAAGTTTGGAGATACCTATTCTATAGGCAAAAATCTGATTTTGTTAAAAATTCAAACCTTTATGGTCTGCGTTCAGTACAGCGGATCTTCCTTAGAAGGGAGAATTGGACCAGAGAAATGCCATTTGCTCCACCTTATCTAAAGCGCTTGCTGATCTTACTTTCTTTTCAAAATAGATCCATTATTATTGCAGCTACTCTCTTCTCCTTAACTTTTATTTTCCTAGGGGATGTTTGGCACTTCCAGGCTGTTCCCTCCCCTGCCAAATATTTCACACTGAGTTCCAGAACTTGAAAAATCTAAATAGGTAGAAACCCATGTCCCTGTTAGCTCATTTGAACATTGTACCATCACAAAAGTCATGTAAGAAAGAAAATAATTTCACTTTATAGTTTCCATTAAACTTTAGTTTCATAGTTAAAAGGAGAACATCATATCAGTTTCATTTCTTCTGTGAATATTAGAAACAGTGGCCAGAAAATGAATCCTGCCCAGCCTTGATTTCACATGCTGTTTTTTCATTTTCTCCAGCCATCACTGAGGAATGCAGCCTTTTTAATATATAATAAAGTGACCAACTTTTTTACAATGAAAAGGAGGACACAAATAAATTGAAGAAAAAATATCATAAATAAAAGAAACATTTTATTCATTGCAACAATAATACAGACAACTTGCATGTGCAAAGTTTGCCAGCCGGGTGTTTTGGCGCGCTCAGCAGCAATTCCTATTGGCTTTCGAAAACCAATAGCGGGAAGTAGCACAGCTCATGCAAAAGTTGAAAAAAAAAACCATCAAAAAAAGGTGCCAGAACGCCATTCTGAGCGTTCTATGAGAAAAAAAAAAGCCCTGCAGATTAGTCTTCAAATATTGAAAAGGAGGACATGTAGGAGGACACTTTTTGAGGGAGAACAGAACTTACAAAAGGAGGACTGTCCTCCCTAAAGGAGGATGGTTGGTCACCTTATCTATGACCTCTGGACAAAGTGTGGTTAATTTTAAATATCATTTACTCGAGTAAAACCACTTCGAACTTTGGCTTATGAAGCTAGTTTGTTTAATTGGCCATATTTAATATTCCTCGTGGTTTAGGGTTTTGACAGGCCCTCTCATCCAGGCCTGACTGAAAATAGAAGCGAAAGCTGCAGGAGAAGGTGAAGGGACCAAAACTACTTTAATTCAGTTAAGTTGTGGTTTCATAATTTGAACCAGTCTGGTATGCTTCGTTTGTCTCTTAAAAGATGAAATATAGAAGTGTTTTCCATTTGCTTCAGCATTCCCCTTTCGATTTTGAGACAAAAATGAAATGACAGACCCCTTTTGCTGAAAAATTGTTCACTGTTATGTCAGAGAAATGGTGTGCTAGAACAGCAGACCTTTGAAGGTTAACCACATAAGGAAGAGAAGACAGAATTGTAGGCTGTTACTTTGAAAAGCACAATTCCATGCTGCTAAACCATGCCTCTCAAGTCGGGTGAGAGAGTGCACCATTTCTGATCAGACTTTGACAACTGTGTTCCTGTTTCATCAGAAACTCCCCAATGCATTACATTTTATATGAATGACATCAGAATGATTAACACAACTGCTAAATCATGGCCTTCTCTCTGGTTAAGAATACTGCCTTAGATGTTTGATGGAGTATAAAAAATAGAATAGAAAATAACCTGAATGACCACTTTTCTAAAGCTAAAAAAACTGCATCAAATGGGAGATAGGTAACCTGGATTTATTAACAGAGGGGATGCAGGTTTGTATCTGTAAGAAACAGATAGTGGATTGGTGCACACAATCTCCTCTGAAACTTAGTAGAATAATACTGTGAAGAAATTTGCTTTGCAATACAAGCTTAAAGTCAGAGGCACCCAATGTGATGAAACCAAGACCTGGTATCTGTTTCCCAATTTGGTTTTTTAAAACCTTTCCTTCTGTAGTTAGTGAAGACCAAAATATAGCTTAACTTTTTTTTTAAAGTGTTTATGGCTATAGCAAAAGTCAGAAGATCTCCAGTCTTGCTGTTTGTGTTGTGTAAAACGGTCCTTGAGATACTCTAAGCCATTCCTATAGGGGTAATACATAAATAACTTGAAAGTAAAGATAAAAGTATTTTTGTGGTTCCCCCAGTAGCCAATATATGGAAATATTATTTGTTTTATCAACTCAATATTATATAACAGGATTAACATAATTTCTTATTGAATATCAATATTAATATTCCACATGGATATCTATATGAAAGGGAAGATTATTCTTAATGTTTAAATTAAATATACAGAGGATGCTCAAGTTACATATATTGAACTGGAAGTAGGGTTAAAATACTTTCTCTCCCATTACCTGGAGCTTGTTATGGTCTGAAAATAATTCAATCTCAACATGATAGTGTAGCTTTGTGTCTGACAATCTACTAGTTCTCGATTGATAACCATTCATTCAACAATTTCAAGTTATGAGAGCCTTGGAAAAAGTGACTTGGCACCCATCTTCAGAGTTACAACCGTCGTACCACCCATGCAATCACATGATTGCAATTTGGGCACTTGGCAGCCAGCTTGCATTTATAATGATAGCAGCATCTTGCAGTCACGTGATCACGGTTTGTGACTTTCTCAGCCAGCTTTCAACAAGCAATGTCAATTGGAGAAGCCAGATTTACTCAATGCAGGGGTCCTCAAATTTGGCCACTTTAAGACTTGTGGACTTCAACTCCCAGAATTCCCCAGCCAGCCATGCTGTGATTCATTTAATAATGAGCCTTGGTGGCAAAGTGGTTGGAATGCAGTATTGCGGGCTAACTCTGCTCACTTTGCCAGGAGTTCAATTGCTTTGATCCTGACTGGCTCAAGGTTGACTCAGCCTTCCATCTTTCCAAGGTCGGTAAAATAAACCCAGGTTGTTGGGGGGCAATATGTGCTGACTCTGTAAACCACTTAACAGAGGGCTGTAAAGCACTGTGAAGCGGTATATAAGTCTAAGTGCTATTGCTATTAATATTCATGGGTAAAATGCAATAAAATCAGATCTGGTCACGTAATGACTCAGTAATGACTGCGTCACTTAGTGACCAACATTCTGGACCCAACTGTGGTTGTAAGTCAAGAATTATCTGTATTCCATTTTTGATTTGGATGGGTCACACCTGAGCAGAACTTTCTCTATTTTGGAATCTTCTTGAAGAGCTTTTGCTCAAGGAACAACCAGCTGTGGCTAAAAGGCCTTTTGCTCAGCTCCATCCTGGTGCCAGTTGCAGCTTTTTCCAGCTCAGAAAACTTTGTTTATGATTATTCATTCCTTAGTCATTTTTTCTTTGGATTCTGCAGTGTGCTGCCTGTAGGCTTGTCTTTGAAGACTATCTGGAAGTTCTAGCTGCCCCAGAATGCATCAGCTTGGACATTTATGAATACCAATATTTTGCCCATATAATACAGTTGCTTCAGTTAGTTTCTATGCGCAATTCAAAATACTACTGGTCATCTTAAATCTCCTCTTAGCTTGGGTTCTGGGTATCTTTGGGAATGTCCAGTCTATTATATCTTTCTAGTAAGAGCTGGAAACTGTGAAAGCTCTCTCTGACTTCCTGCCTAGAGAGAGTTCTATCTGCAGGGACCTTGGGCCTTCTCTGTAACTCTGTCACACGCTATTCTATAATGTTCCCCTGAAGACCAAGCCAGCCCCATTCCTTTTGAGCTTTCAAAGCAGTCAAGATTTCCAGCAAGTCTTTGGGACCTAATGTGTAAAATGGATCCTCCTAGGAGGAACGGTGGCAGTTCCAGGGGAATTCTGGCAGTTAAGAGTCCATACATTTTTAAATTGCTGGGGTTGAGAAATACTGCCCTAAAATATTGCAGGGGAAATTTTCCAATTTCTTTAGAATTAATATTGACACAGCTTGTTTGTTTGTTTGTTTTTTGCTCCTATAGCTACACCAGGCAAGCTATTAAGCTGATTATTAATCCAGATTTATTTTCTCCTCATGACATAAAATTCACATGATACTAATTTTGAAAATAAGTGCTACTTTTAAAAAATAAAAAATTAAAACGATTAATCAGATTATTTTGTTTCAAGGATTACATGATCATCAGCAAGTTGTTTTGTGCTAGTTTAGTGTTCGTAATGGGAGAAGCCTGGGAGTTTCCCTTTTGCAGAATTTTTTTTCCTCTGACTATCTATGTTTAAGCAGCTTTTTCTATTGTAGAGAAGTGTGATGAAGGGATAAGCTATTGAATGTACTTGTTCAATTAACTGTAAATAGTTTGCAAATAAGTATATGAAATTCAAAACATTTCAGGTAACTTTAATAATGCTAGAATCCAACTACATCATGGTGGCAAACTTTATAATAAATCATGTTTTCTGATTCGATTAATTTCATGGAATCAAAAAATCAAAACGCCTCTAAATTATATTTTGAGTTCATCTTCCATGACCTTAATGGGTTAGTATGATTCTTCCATATTTTACTTTCATAAAAACCCAAAGTGGTAGGTTACACTAGAGAAAGGCATCTCAATGTTTTTTGGATGCTTGTAAGAAGCAAGATAAGTGCAGCTGATAATTTTATTTCCTTGTCTCCTCTTTGTTACAGATGCTCGTGACACCGAACAACTAAAACAGAATAACATTACACACATTCTTTCAATCCATGACAGTGCTCGGCCCATGTTGGAGGTAGGGTAAGAAACTTACCAAACTTAAACCAATGTGGTTTCAGTAGGAATAAGCAGGCAAATGCTATTTTAGCATTAGTACAATATTGACTTAGGACTATTTCTGTAAAGGGCTATGGATAAGAGGAAGGAGGAAGTTGTCAACAATGATGTATAGATGCAGGGAAGGGGCTTTTTCTCAAGAACTCTGATTATCATTTTTCCATTAATCTGCTCAAATGAATCTAATGTCATAATCACGTCACGATAAGTCAGTGTCATCTAACTTCCATGTGATTTAACCAGTGTTGATTGTAACTGTACTTCTGGATTTCTGATTATCATCAAATTGGGCTACAAATGGCAATGTGTATTCCTCCAGACATTGAACCTCAGCTACTGTCAGCTTTTGCGAGTATGGCCGATGGTAAAGAATGATAGAAGTTGTAGTTCTAAATAATAATGTGGCCCATTTCTTGGGGTTCTGTTCAAAAAATAATTAGATCCTATAAACAATGAAACTTTGTTCATTTCAACTTTCAAGATTGAAGATATGTCTGTTTTATTGCATAGTCAAAAAATTAATGGGAATGTTACTCTATGTATATCCTGTAATTAAAACTTGTCAAGTGAGCTTCCTATTTTGAAAATCATGATGCAAGGATTTTATTTTATATATATATATATATATATATATATATATATATATATATATATATATATATGGTCTTTGGTTGTTCGGGTTTTCTCCCGCGTATATATATATATATATATATATATATATATATATATATATCCCTATCTATCTTTCATTTATATCCCCTTGAGATCAGTAAGCTTAGTCTGGGATTTCGTGATATATAAGCCTTGAGACAGAGAGAATGTGTACACAAGACAGTACAAAAAGTCCTTGACTTATAACCATTCATTTAATGACCATTCAAAGTTAAAATGGCACTGAAAAAAGTGACTTGTGTCCATTTTTCATTCTTATAACTGTTGCAGCATCCCCATGGCCACGTGATCAAAATTCAGATGCTTAGTAAAAAAAATGGATTGGCAGGTAGAAGAGAATACATTGATCAAATAATGAGACATAGTGTCTGGAGAGTGTTGATAACAGTAAACTATCCTCAAACTTGGAGCGAACACAGTTTGAAAGACTAGTAGTGGTATTTTCTCTTTTTTTGGTATTGCAAAATGGTCTTTGGTCTTTTCATGATCACGGGAGTTTTATTCATATTATGAATTTCAGTAAACTCTCTAGAAATAAACAAATACACAAGTAGAACTCTCTCCAAGAATGAAGTTATCCTTCAGAATATATAGTATACTTCCTTTTCATTCTTTTTCCTAAAGGAGGAGCAAGCTTTCTGCCTGTGTTTATTTCATTTAGTTGATAAGACTATAAAATAAATAGAATGAGTCCTTGTGGTAGACATGAATCCCACCTACACATCAAGAAAGAGTTCTCTTTGAACATGATTGCTAGGAACTGATGGTATAGCTCCTACCGTTTTAAAGTGGGAAGCATATAAAATTTGTACTGTGAGGTTTAAATCTGGCATATCAAAGTTAAAATACAGAGATGCCACTCTCCCTTTAAGACCCAGTCGTACAATTTATGAGATGTGATTCTACCAGTTTGAGGTCTCTTTCTCCATGTTGACAGCCTTTGGTCATCAAACGATGCTTCCATCTCTTATTTGCAAATAAGTATATAAATCCAGAAACAGAGAATATCATAGATACAGCAAGCTTACAACAACCCTCATATCTTCACAGATCTAACTCCCATAAATACAGTGATCTGAATTAAAATAGATTAAAATAGAAGATTTTTTTTTTTAAAAAAAAACCAGTAAAAGAGAGAAAGGACTTCAGCTAGTACTTCCCAGAAATTAGTAAAATTTTGTGATGGAGAGCACTGCACTAATATCTCATACCTATTCATTGTGTTTTGTTTGAGAGAGCTATATGTAGAAGAAGTCTGGAGTAACCTTGGATTCCATCAATGCTGAATTTTGGTACAGGGCTGGAAATGAAATTTTTAGGTCAACGTTCTTCATTCTTCACTAGTAGCTACTAAGATGGCTGAGATTATGCATTCTTTGCACACATTTGTGCCAACTCCTTAGAAAATCTCACTGGCTTTTCTTTAAACACCAGCAATCAAATTACATTTTTGCTTATTTCTGTTTAAAACATACAAGAATTGAAGTTAATATGTAAGGACTTTTTTCATCTTAAATATTTAAGATAAAATATTTATCTTCTCTCATCTCACAGGAGGTTAGCTGTCCTAACTGAGGTTCATTTAGATTGTCCTTAATATCCTTTATTAATAAGGGGACTTTTAAAAATAGTTTAAAATTTCATAACTGTAGTCTTATGGGAAATATTGCTGTAAATATCATCAGATCTTGAACCATAATTACCATTTTGCCAACACGAAGTTACAGTCTGAAGATTCAGAAATAATATATCATAAATCCTAAATGTTTCCATGTTTTTATTAAAACTCTTCTATATGTACCTTACATATTAGCAAGCCCATTTGACTTTTAATCCTGTTCACAAAACTAAATGTAGTTCTTCCATCTTTTTTATTCCTAAGGAGTCAAACAAAATCAACATTTGAAAATAAATAAAATAAATAAATTTGTTGATCTGGGAGAAGTCTACTAATCTTCAGTGGGGAAGCCTCTTCTTAATCTTTTTGGAGAAAAATTAAGTTTCAGTGATGTGGGCGCTTTTTTCTGAAATGGCTTTGAGTCTTTTGGCTTACTAGTTACTTTGATACAATATTCCAATGATATATATATGACCTTTATAGACATTTCAATATAATCTAAACTGGAGAGATTCATTTAATTTTTTTTAAAAGCAAATACACCCCAAAGAATATGATTCAGCAATTGTTTCACTAATGTCAAGATCAAAGAAGCTTTGTGATATATTCAGAGCAGTAACATATTGCATAACCTCCAACCCTTCGTGGTATGTGTGTGCATGTGTGCAACAATCTGTTTTCTTCATATAGTAGGATGCTCATCCTCAGTGGTGAAGTAACGGTACATTGGCTTCCCTTATTGCTGGAATGTTTGAATATTTTCAATAATAAAATGAGTCAAGAATCTCATGTTTTACCCTGCGTGACTGCTCTTTAAAGCAACTGAAAGGACAAAGGAACAAAATTACTCTTCCCCCACCTGCCCTAGTTGGTCCTGTAGTTGCGCTGGCCAGAACTCTTGATAACCTCTTGTTGTTTTAGTTTTGAGAAAACCATGAGAAACCAACTGCTTCCTACTTGGGCCGTTTCTGACGAAATGTCCCTCCTGAAAGAAGAGTATCCATTTCTCATCTGTTGATGTGGCATGTCAAAATAACATATGGGGGCTTTTTGGGTTAACCTGAAAGAACTTTGCCAGGTGTTTGAGGCTTCTTATTTGCATCTGGCTTCACAATTAGGTACCCTGAAGTTTTGTTTTTGGCTGTTAAAAATATTTCTTGGAAGTCATCGTTGAAAAAATTTACATAAATTTTAATACCGAGAAGTGCTATGCCAAAAATAATGTAATGCTTATTGCTCCCTCTCCCCCCTTCTCTCCCCCGCTTCTTTTTTATTCCAGTCTAGAAATTTGTACTGAGGTTCAGACGGTTAAAAGATTTCTTTATTACCCTTTAAATTAAAAAAAAAAGTAGTGATTCATTGATCTGTAAATGGATAGGGAACTGAAATGTAAAGTTATTGTAGTGGCTAAGAGAATTTGCAAAACGGACAACCAGGTTCCTATAAATTGGTTGTTTCATTCAAAAGAATGTATTTTCTAATTCTAAACATAATTATAGAAAATGTCTTTAACAGAATGTGCTTAAAATTCAGTGGCCACATTTTCAGCATGTGGATTATTAATTTTATGCAATCAAGCCATGCACTGTCAGCTAAAAACAATTCTTATGAAACAGATTATTGAAGGGTTTTAATATGACTTGTTTGCTCAAGCAATACACTTTGTCAACTAAAAACAATTCTTATGAAACGGATTATTGAAGGGTTTTAATGTGACTTCTTTGCTGCATCTGTGATTGTTTGAAAGTAAACGATTTCCTATTGACTTCATTTTTTAAACAGATTAGCCACAGCAATAGTTATTTCTAGGCATTCTTTGAACCGTATAAAACATGAATGAATGTCGTGATCTCATAGTTTTGACATTTAGTTTTTCCTTTCTCAAGTTCTCCTTTAAAAATAAAAATCGTACAGTTTATCCATTCCATTAAGTAGAATTTACACCCTGGTTGCCACTAAAAACTAAGAAAAGGTTTTTAAAAATCCAGATAAAAACAATATTAACTGTAGAAAAGAATGATGATTATGTGGTAACCAAAGTGGAATTGCATGTTCCATGGTACTGAACTCTTAAAGCAAAATAAAATGCCTTTTTAAAATATTAAACAAAATATACATATTAATCTTAATGAGTAACTTTGTTTTACATCTATAATTTGTGATTAAAAATCCAATAAATATAGTTCATGGTGAACTATAAATTACCTAGCTTAAAATATTGTTATTGTTATATTCTAAATAAAGAGTATATTTGGATATATGTGTAATCTGAAATTCTTGGACATACTAATAATTAAGCATAGTGTTTCCAAAGCAGGTTTTGAGCAAACTTTCCTCAAACAGTTCATCAAGGTTTATTGAACTGGTATGATTTTCTAGGCAGTGAGTACGAATGTTAGAAATTTGGCTGAACTGACTGCCAAACTTGAAAGAAGCAGATCTTGAAATCAGAAGACTTGCGCTAGTTTTGTTAACTCTCCCTTTGTATCGGTTTAACTGTTTTCTTGACTTTCAGGGCCTAAGAGAAATAAAAGGTTTATGCTTGTGGTTACTTTTCTCTGATGAAATAGAAAACTGAGAGGAAAATGAATTTATTGGCTTCCCATTCTGTCAAGCAGATTTAGATGCATTGGAATTTGGAAGAATGGATCTAGAGTCTGGCTTTTGTCAGAAACTACATTTGGTTACCTGTTGTTTTATATGCTCCTGGGGTTATTCCAGCATCCTGATGTGACAGTTTTTCTGGTGTGTTCTCGTTTATAGGATGTGCTCCATTGCCATTTCGCGAAATTCCTACTCACAGGTGTGGCCTGGAGAGAATGAGTGTGAAACTACTTCTGCTTGATTGTTTTGCATGCATACAGAGTTGTGTTTGCTGCCACTTTCCACTACACTATTATTTATTATCCATATTCTGATTTCCAATGCTTACTCAATGCTTCTGATTTACAATGCTTTCCTTTGTAGTCTTCTTTCCATCCATTGCTGGACACATCCACGTGCTGCAAAGATGCTATTGAATCAGATGGTACCAGCCAGAATAGTATCTGCTGGCAAAAATATTGCATGAATAGCAGAACTTCATGGGAGACAATAAGTATATATATTTTGAATGTGTGTGTTTCTAGTTAACACGAGTGATTTGATGTGGGATTACTCTAATTTAGAATTGGGGCAGGGAGAGAAATGCATTTTTAATTAATTTTACGTACCAACTAATCTTGATTCATCCTGAAACTAAATTGTTTCTGCTAGGGCAGGGGTAGGCAAACTTGGCTCTTTTATGACTCGTGGACTTCAACTCCCAGAATTCCTGAGTCAGCTGGCTCAGGAATTCTGAGAGTTGAAGTCCACGAGTCATAAAAGAGCCAAGATTGCCTACCCCTATGCTAGGGGAATAAAAACAAAGAAAAAAATTAGAGGAACGTTGCAGGTTTTGGAACAGTAAAGCCAGATCTCTTTTTCTTTCAGTAGTTTGTTAGATTTCTTCCAGAAATTCAAAGCATAGCATTCCATTTTTCCAACAACAATCTTCTGGGCTATATTGGTCCAGAGGCTCCAATGAACGTCCTTGACTAAGGATGGACTCAAATAAAAGTCTTCATTAACCATGATGACACACTGGTTTCTCTTTCATTTGGAGTAGAACATAATTCTGGAAAGGTTGTAAGTTTTTCCAAATTATGTAGACCATAGTAGTATTATTTGCACTCACCTGCACGTAAATGTTTTCTCTTTTTTGTGCCCACTCTACTTATTTCCTGATGTGAAATAGCTTTCATCTGCCCCTTCTACTTACTAAAATTATCAGGAAAGTAAGATTGAACAATTGCGGGATGCTACAAATGCTGGATTAGTCTCCAGAAAAACAGATAACATTTGTAATAAAATAGTTCAAGAGGCCTACTTGGTGTTTGTCACAGAGACTTTCATTGTAGAAGTTGATTGCCTGATGCAAAGAGAATGCATATGACACATTATTTACATCTGTCAATATACTGTATTGGGAAAAAATCAGTGGACATCAAATATTGGAGAATAAATAATAAAGCGATATGTACTTCCATGGTTATAGAAGCCATGTTTAAGGGGTTTTTTTTTGAGAGTAGCAGAATGTAGGATTACCACAGTGTTGTTTTTTTTAAAGGGTTTCTGACTATAGGAACTGACTATACATAATAAGTAGATTCATTCTGTTAATGAACTGATAAGAGGCAGGAGTAAAAATTATTATTTTTAAATAATAGTCTTTAATAATTTTAATTTTAAAATTAAAATTATTAAAGAATATTGTGGGCCAAGAAGACATACAAAACTGACTATATTAAAACTGGAGTAGTAATATGTACAAGTTAACAAAGTAGCTTTTAACTTATTAGTAGCTAAGGGGAATATTTCTCTAATGAGTATACAATGTACAGCCCACCAATGCCTTGAGTATCCTTTGTACTTTCCAGAGGTTGCAGTTCAATTGTAATTTTAATATGACAGAAATGGAAAATTATTAAATATATGGGGAATAATCAAATTCATTGTTTTTCATCAAGTAAATTACATTTAGATTTTTTTCCTTGACCTCACCTGCTTTTTTGTAGTATGGCTGCTCAAAGGCCTTTTAGATTTTGGATTTAGGTTCCTGCATAATAGTTGGGGGGAAATAATGGTTTTGCAGCCAAGTTTAGGCATAGCACTTCCCCACTTCATCCCCTTCTCCTATCCCCGTAAGTAGGAAGGATGATAATATGAATCGCTAGGAAAAAAATCTGAATGTAAACGCTAGCTTTCGATTCACCCATCCAGCAGCAAGTATCAATTGTTTGGAAGAGATTTTGAGTTTTCAAAGATTGGGCAGCCTGATGTAGGAATGCTGAAATACACCAGCCACTTTCACATATGGTTTGTAGGATTAGCAGTCCAGAGGATTGCATAGCTGGTTGTACAGTGCTGTCTCCCATATCTGCCAGTGATGAAGCCCAGGTAGTTGAGGAGTTTAATATTATGCTTGTACCTGTTATGGAGTTGGGGACTTGAAAAATCAAGGGCACATCATTTGAAGAGATTTATATGTAATGAGATCTTGAACATCTACTTTTCATATATGAATGTTGACAGGCAGGCTGATCTATGACTTTACTGGCTTTCAGTGTTGGTTCTCTTTTACATAGAGAAAGCATCAAAGAGTTTAATGATGTTGTTTGAATCTAGCAAGGCAATTGTTATATGATTTTTCACTTTTCATTCCCTCTCTTTTACGTACAATTTTTGGTGAGGGCTGACCAAAAAAAAGTGAATATAGCTTATCAGAAACAGATTAAGACTTTAGGACAGAACTTTAATAATCTTCAAAAAGGAAAGTGTCTATTTTCAAAAGCCCATACTAGGCTTTGTTTGATTTTTTTTTTTAATAATGAAAACCAATTATATATAGCACTAAAAATAATAACTATCTTCCCCAAGGGACACGTGCACTTTATTTTCCATATTCATGTAAGAAAGGAAGAAATACATGTCAGACAGTTGGTAAGCAATTTATAGCATTAGAATTTAAAAAAAAGATACATTAAAATGTGATAAATAAAACAAAAAAAAAAAAGCTGACTGTTTCCATTCCAGCAAAAAATCAGGCTGCATAAAATCTGGTTGATGAACCTTAATCTTAAAATGTTTTCTGGGCACCATCCAGAGCAAAAGTAGGATCCTATCTCTGAATATGTTTTACTACAATTTTCCTTTTTCCTTTCTTTACAGGGAGTAAAATACCTATGTATCCCTGCTGCAGATTCACCCTCACAGAATCTGTAAGTATTTAAAGCAGTGCTCAGTTTCACCACTACATAATACTCCAGTGTTGTTTAATGGAAGCAAAATACACCTGATTAGATTTGCAAATATATCTAGCTCCTTGTCTTCTTCAATTTTTGGAAACAACAGCTAGTCTTTCTGTTACAATGTGGATATGGGTCCCTATCTCTGTGATAAAATTTCATGCAGCACCTAGTTGTTATAACTATAAAAGAAATCGGCTCCAGGTTTTATGGGAAGAAATCTGTAGGATTAGATGAGTAATGCCAGTACTGAATTGAGTCTACTAGCATCTGACTTTGATTAGGAAGGGGAAAAAAACCCTGCACAAACCAACTTGTAAAAATTGGTTTGTGCACAACAACTTGAAAAAGATCAGTCTGAAAAAGAAAGCATGTTCTTGAAGGTTGCATAAACAAAGGGGTAGTTAAATTTCTCTGAAGTAAACTTTTTTTTTTAAAGGAGGCTTTAAAAGCCAACAACCAAGGAATTAATATATAACATAACAAAGGAGGACATCAAGAAGAAGCTGAAACCTTTTATAAAATGGTTTTGGGATGAATTGATGCTAAAGCTGCATGTATTACAAAACACTGTACAATATTGTAGTCTCTCTCTATTAGGGAAAGCTAAGAACAGAAAACATCTATGAATCTTTCCTGTGTTTATTTATGGAAAAAAAAATACTTCAAAACTGATACACTGGAAAACTGATATATTAATGCAGTTTACTAAAATGGTCCTGTTTGCTGATGTGTTGGTGGTTAAAAGAAGCCGCCTTGTAGTTTGTGGTTATGTATCTGGATAGATGAATAAGAAATAGGTGGCCTTTTTGATGGAAACACTTGTTCTACCCAGGGTAATGACATAGCAGAATTTGAGGCAGCCTCTCAAATGTTTAATTATCTCCCTTTCTTATCTCCCTTTCTTTTTGAACCCACTTAGCCTTTTGAGGGCTATTTAAATGCCTGACCTTCCATAGTACTTGGCTGTTTGGTGTGTACATTTTTGCTGAATCACAGATGAGCCGGGCCTAGTCTCAAAAGGCTTTTACTTCGCAGCAGAGCTGCCCAGACTTGCAGCTAAAGTGGAATGATACAAGCTGCCCAAGAATATTTGAATGGCAGCTGTGCTTTGGGTAGCCTTCACTGTTTGTACTTACAAGAGGTAAAGAAGAGGAAGGGGGGGGGGAGAGGCACTTCCTGATAATCAGATTTGTAGAGAAACAAAAGTAGTTTCAAAGGGAGCCCACGGAAGGAAATGGAGCGCTGCCTTTTCGCTCCGAACAGAGTGCTGCCTCTTTCACCCGATGCTTTCGAGATATATTTTTAGCATATTTGCTTCTTTCATAGAACAGTGAGTTCCCAGTTGCATCACATCAGTTGACAATTTCATCTCACTGCAAACATCAACAGGACTCATGTTTTTTTTCCCAATCTTTTTCCAAGTGATGGTTCACGGTACACTGCCCACTGCATCAGCTTCTTAAAATGATCCCAATATTCCCCTATGAAAGGCATTTTTGCTCTTTCCACATGGGTCAGTGGTTAAATCCAAAACCAGAATGCTCTTCTCATCTTTATCACCTCTCATCTTTCTTGCTGTTGGTATATTATGATTTAGCAGTTGTTGTTGGTATCTTATAATTTATGATCTATGACTTATCACTTTGTTGTTTGTATGTACACTGAGAGCTTATGCACTGGAGACAAATTCCTTGTGTGTCTGATCACACTTGGCCAATAAAGAATTCTATTCTATTCACACAAGCAGTACAGAGCATGTCATGACCTTCCCCAATTTTCTGCTCTTCAAATGTATTGGACAGTGATTTCTGGGACTTAGTAGCCATTAGCTGTCGGGACATGTTGGATTTTCCCCTTTACTGTTAATTTTCAAGGGAGATCAGTATTATAATATTGCCTTCTGATTTCATAAGGCACCCAAAGCAACTCTATCTGATCTCTGTTAAAGCTTGCTGGTTCATTCACTCATTCACTCATTCACTCACTCACTCACTCATTTATTCATTCATTCATTCACTCATTCATTCTTAGTATATTAGTTAGCTTTTGGACCAAAGAAGACTTGCTATTTAGATTAAACTGTTAATTTTCCCCCTCTCCCCAGCTTTACAGGTAGTGTGCTAGATGAATAGGAGAAATAGGAAGGAAATAATTTAAAACTGAGAGTTTAGGTACATTTAAATTAGTTGAAATGCTAAGCTTTGTTAGGAATGCTAGGCTTTTCATAGACTGCCTGAAGTGAAATAACAAAGGGGCCAAATTAGCCTTCCTCAAGAGGGAGTTTCAAATTAGTGCTCTTACAGAGAAGACTCTCTAGTCTATAATGTTGATGAAATTGAGAAACAAGTTATGTAAACTTTATTCTAAGGCAGTGTTTCTCAACCTTGACAATTTTAAGGCATGTGGACTTCAACTCCCAGAATTCCACAGCCAGCATTGCTGGCTGTGGAATTCTGGGAGTTGAAGTCCACATGCCTTAAAATTGTCAAGGCTGAGAAACACTGTTCTAAGGGATTCTGGACATCACCTGAACTACTTCAGTAACCTGATCTAGGCTTCCATAAATGGCCTATTATAGTCTCCAGGTTGTTCCAGGTGCAGTTCAACCTGACTCAGTATGCCAGATCTGAAAAAGGAAATTCTTTTTTAAACAAGAGAAGAACAGGAACTTTGGGGATGGTTTTATTCCTGGGCAATTTCTCCATACATCCAGTTCTATGTCCAAGACAATCAACAGTAGCCCAATTACAAGGACCCAGTCAGATTGTAGCCAGGTCTTTTTGTTATTTAATCTTTATAGTTCCACTTCCCCACCAGGGTGTTTTATATATACAACAAAATATTTATGAGGGGGGCACTGATGCTATGTTTTCCATTTGTTGCAACAGACCTTTACAATCTGGAGCTCCATAGATGCCTAGAATTGGAATGGACCAAGTTCAGATCCATCTGCTCTGCCCCATGTAAATGAAAATCTGTTCAAAATCATTGTGCTTTACTCCTGGTTTTGCAGTTTACACAGAAGACATGTTGACCTTGAGTATCCTGGCTTCTCAACTATTTAGTTACACTTTTGCCCACTGTTAGGTCATGCAGAAAATAAGATTTTTTTGAAGATCCATGATTATACCAACCACTATCTGCATTTTGTGGGGAAGGTACTCAGGCAAATATACTGGTTTACATACCCTTGAATGACATTGAGGATATAGATCCATTTCAGCATAGTTTCTGCTTGGATTTGGCCTTGAGTTTCCTTTATTTGCCTTGGGCCGATAGAAGAATGAAGGAAATGCAGCATTGTTTATTCTCCTGTCAACAGCTTTTAACACCATCATCCACAATAACCTTCTAAAGCAGGTGCTTGGGATAGAGTTGGATTGGTGTGCTTTAGTTGTTCCAGTGTGGAAGTCAGCTTTTATTCTTAGCCCTTTTTCCAAAGCAGTGGAATTCAGTTTGGATCACTTATATTAACTAAGGGGGGAAAAAACCTTGTTTATTTGAAGGATAAATGAATTGTGAACTTTTTGAAGAACATCCAGATAGAGTCACTGAAACTTTGCTTTCAGAAGTATTTTAAATAAACAAACAAACCCTAGTTGATTTGTAGTCTTCAAAATAGGCAGTTTTGAAATAATTTTTAGGACATCAGTTCTATCCCTTGGTGGATAGTATTGAAAGATTTCACTTTGATTGTGATGTGTTCCCTTAATGGGTCTTGCTTACCATTTGTCCTCCTGAATTGTTTGATTTGAATTAGTGAGAAGTTTTTTTTTTTTTAGCTTTCCCCAATGGCAGACATGTGGGAATCCTGGGGGGGGGGAACACCCACACACCTACATAGAATTCTGTTTCAGGTATGGCATTAGCTTATTGTTGTGTGCTCTAGCCTTCATAGAAGCTTATCCTCTGAAAGCAAGGCTGAGAATTTTCTCACTATTAGTGCAAATGTTTATTCCAGACTAAGAGAAGGGAAAGAAAATGTCCCCCACTTGTGTTTTAAAGAACAGTGAAAACTGTACCTTAGCAGAGCGCTAAGCATGGAGTTAATTATCACTCCAATAATCCCCATGTGCCTCATACACTACTACTTACATTCTTTTTATTGTAGATGACAGCTAGTAAGTTAATTGTCTGTCTAAGGCAGGGGTAGGCAACCTTGGCTCTTTTATGATTTGTGGACTTCACTCCCAGAATTCCCGAGCCAGCATGGCTCAGCATGGAAACTTTTCCATTTCTCCTCAGCATGGCTGGCTCAGGAATTCTGGGAGTTGAACTCCACTAATCATAAAAGAGCCAAGGTTGCCTACCCCTGGTCTAAGGCTACTCAGTGAGTTTATGGCTAGATTGAATATTTGAAAGAGCTCAGACTTGGATGAAAATATTGTGATAACTAGAACATGTTTTAAATTGTTGTATTGTACTCCTTGTGGCATCCTTGATTGTTGGGTAGTGACTGACTGTGACATGTTTAATTATGTAATTGAGTTGAAAAGCGCCCAACTAGTTGAGTTTAATATAAGGCCAATCTCCATAGACCTGTCTATGTAGAGGTGGGGAATCTTTTTCTTTCTGAGGATCACATTCCATGTGACTCTGCTGATTGTGAGAGTAACCAGAGCTAAGTGGAATTTGAGTGAACCCTTCCCCCCCCCCCTTCCTTTCTTCTTCCCTATTAAAAGGTCTGAACTCTCTGTTAAGGGTATGTTAATAATACTTAGAAATTTAAGGCAGCTTTCCCAAATTTTGTTTGGGATTAGAGAGTTGAATATCATGTAGTGTTTTTTTCGGAATTTATTTCAAAATGATTTTTTGATTGCAGTCCTTTCTTACCTTGCCTAGTAAGAGAAGCTTTATTCGGTAATGTATGAGTCAGACATTTACGTTCTATGGACATAGGGATATATTATGTATATTTTCTGTTTATATCGCAGTTCATGTAACAGAGATCTGCTTCAGCAGTTTTAACTGTCTAAAACACCGACTGCATCCTGGAACGTTTAGCTTAAGTATAGTAAACTGAGATGTTGGCAACCCAACACTAATGAAATATCTTGGGTAGGGTTCTGTCAAACTTGCACACCCAAGAAACTTAGGCAATACACTCACACATTCATTGCAATACCTTTTTAAGTCCGTCCAAGTCAATTGGATTACGTTCACTGCTGCACCAAATTTGTCCCAATGCAAACTGCTCTTAACTTCTTAAATTCTACTAATAATCTTTCTTCTTCTTTTTCTAGAGCAAGGCACTTTAAAGAAAGCATTGTTTTTATCCATGAGTGCCGGCTTAGAGGTGAAGGTTGTCTTGTCCACTGGTATGTACTTAACAAGGAGGTTTTCTAAATTGTGTTCTTTTATTGATGGATATACAGTGTGGGTAGCCCTCAACTTACAACCACAATTGACCTCAAAATTTCTGTTGCTAAGTGAAACATTTGCTAAGTGAATTTGGCCCATTTGATGACCTTTCTTGCCACAGTTGTTAAGTGAATGATTGCAGTTACTAAGTTAGTAACATAGTTGTTAAAGGAATCTGGCTTCCCCATTGACTTTGCTTGTCAGAAGGTTGCAAAAGGGGATCACAGGACCCCGGGACACTGCAACTGTCGTAAACATGAGTCAATTGCCAAGCCTCTGAATTTTGATCATGTGACCATGGGGATGCTGCAGTGGTCATAAGTGTGAAAAATGGTCATAAGTCACTTTTTTCCAGTGCCGTTCTAACTTCGAACGGTCACTAAATGAACTGTTGTAACTGGAGGACTAGCTGTAATACATTGATTTCCTTTTGAAGCTGTTCCATTTCTGTTTTGTGACCCTACCGGATATAGTAGCGTTACTCTCCCTGTAGATTGTCTTTTGTACAAAAACCCTACCACTTAGAAAAAAAATAAAGCTTGGCTAAATTCCTCCCAAAGTCATTCCTTCTAGTATGGGATATAATTCCATCGTTCTTCCCCCAAAGAACTTAGAGAACTATATTCCTTTAAGACTGAAGCAGGAATCTACATAACACGACAATAATTCTTGGAGTCTGTGTCAGTTAAATTAGTGAAAAAAATGGGGATGTTTTGTAGGATTTCCCTCACTTAAATTTTCCTAACTTAAACACTGATGTTTTAGAGACTGTTGTGTATTTCAGTCTGTTGGTGCTGTTGACTGACAGCTGTTGTCCACAATTTTAGAGCTTTAGAGTTTCACCAGCTTGACCTGAAATTGCTAAGGATTAAATATGGGATGTTCTGCATGCAAAGCATGTGCTTTGTCACTGAACTAGAGTTTCTTTTCAACATTAGTTCATTCATACAGTATCTCATGTTTGTTTTGTTTATTCTCCTGAAATGTTTTATCATGCTTCTTTTCTACCGAGCAGTGGTCTTCAGGCTACTTTACTACATATTTTCACCTTGCATCTCTTTCCATTTGTATTGGGATGGTGATGCAGTCTTGCCGGTGTTTCCAGGAGTGCAACCTTGGTTGTGGCCTATATAATGACCATCACTGATTTTGGCTGGGAGGATGCATTGTCTATTGTCCGGGTGTCGAGATCATGTGCCAATCCAAATACAGGCTTCCAGCAACAGCTTGAAAACTTTGAAAAAAATGAAGTGGCCCAGGTAAGTTTTTGAATCCTTGGCATCGCCAACTTAAATTAGAAGCCATGAATCAACTCTCATTACCATAAGAATTATTTTTGTTTGCTCCGAAATAGGAATTTTGCAAACCCAGTTGCTGTGCCGCATAACTTATTTTCATGGCTGGGATCAGAATGAGTTTTTCTTAAATGTAAAATGTTGATTTGGTTTATGAGTCTCTTGCTTCCATTCAGAAAAGAGATGGCCATTCCATGGAATGATTTATCTTGTACAGATGCCAGTAACCTTTCCAGACTGGAGGACTTGAAGTGCACACATTGTTACTTTGAATACGCTCTGTTGTGCATGACCTTCTGAAGCCAGTCTTCAGATTTTTGGGGAAATTGGCATTTATTTTTTGTTTTGTAGGGCACTATGCTAGCAAATGCTGAGATGTGGATGAAGGCTGGAATATAGGCACCATAAGACAGTTGCTGGAGGCTCATATGACTAGGCACCTACCTTGGTTTAATTTTCCATGTGTCTCAAAGATGCTTTTCCAAAAGACAAGTGGACTTTCTTGGTTGTTTTTTTCTTTAAAATGTTTTGCTTCTTATCCAAGAAGCTTCTTCAGAACTTCCTTATAAGTTTCCTTATGAAAAAGCACTTTTGGGACAACAGTGATCTGCATGATTGAGAATATCCACAGACAATTCTCCATGTGGGACAGCCGGATCTATCCATTTCTGTTTCCCTAGTGCCCCAGTGTGCTACTTGATCAAACACCCTGAATGGATTAGCCATCAGACTAACGTTGCTGCAGCTCTCAATTCATAAATCTAAAGCAGTGGTTCTCAACCTTTTTAATGCTGCGACCCCCAACCGGTCGTAAGTCGAGGACCAGTCAACTGGTCATAAGTCGAGGACTACTCAACTGGCGCAGCACCGTTTGCAGAATGGGACTTTTGGCGGGCTCAGCAGGGCAGAGACAGCCTGGACAATTCCTATTGGCTTTTGAAAGCCAATAGAATTAGACTCTATTCAAGAGAGTCTATTCTATTGGCTTTCAAAAGCCAATAGAATAAAAGGGAGTAGCATAGCTAAGAAAAAGGGGAAAAAATGGCGGACTGCGTTGTTTGGCGACCCCTGTGAAATGGTCGTTCGACCCCAAATGGGGTCCCGACCCACAGGTTGAGAACCACTGATCTAAAGCCTTCTCTAACTGATCCTCATTCCCAACATGTCAATTTTGTTATCCAAGTGTGAAAAAATTGGGACTCAAATCATGTTTACCTGTTTCAAAGTCTTGGACCCTGTACCATTAAATTGTAATAGTAATACAACAGAAAACAAAGCAATGTTGAATACTTGGGGCATAATAATAGAAATAAATTAATGCTAAATTAGTATTTGTAAGTTTAAGCAGTTTTAGTACTAAATATTTACTTTTCAGAACTGTAACCCATTGCACTTTATTGAGAATTAGAATAAATGGAAATATTGCTGACTAGGGGCATTAAGGGAATTTCCAATCTGGATATCTCCCTCATTAATTTTCAGGCCTTGCAATAATTTTATAGTTAATAGTTAATAAAATGCCCTTGCATTACATAAATACTGTATCTTTTTAAGAAGATCAGTGGATATACTGTAGATAATCTCTCTCTCTCTCTCTCTCTCTTTCTCTCTCTCTCTCTCTCTCTCTCTCTCTCTCTCTCTCTCTCTCTCTCTCTCTCTCTCTCTCTCTCTCTCTGTGTGTGTGTGTGTGTGTGTGTATGTGGTTGAATTTCAGTGTCATAAGATAATTTCTTCACTTGTCCTCAAATGAATATGTTGACTTTAAAAAAGGTATTACCTTAGCATAGCCATGTAGCCTTTTGCAAATTCGTGGCCACTTAACCAGCCTAGTCCGTGTGTGAGTACATTTAAAAAATGCAGCTTAATCATGACTTTTCTGCTCTGAACCCCAGATTGCTTTGCCTCCCCCCATATTTGAGACATGCCCAGTGATCATCGTGGTATGACGTTAACGGGGATTTACTGAGGGACAAAGCCGAGAGATCTTGAGATCTTACAGCCTCACACCCATCTGCCCTCATTCACTGCTAAATTGTGACTTTTAACGTGCTAAAAGGAAAAATAGGTGGAGAGTCCTAAATCTGATTGGGTAGCCCTGATCTACGGATGGGGCGTGAGTGTGATAATATGATTGTCAATGAGATCTCGTTTAATTTCTCAGTGCAGATATATTAAAATGATTTGGTTGTTTTTTGCGCAGTACTTTCTAGGGCCCTGGTGCTGTTTTCCTTTGCACAGATGTGCTTTCATGTCACAAGGAAAAGGAGCTTAGACCAAGCTTTCCTTTGAAGCTGTCTTGAGCCATTTCAGAATGAGGATCTTTTTTTCTCTGATTCTTTTTTTTTCTCCTTCAGAAGAAGTCTGTCCCAGTCCCACAAAGGGAGATATTTCCTGTTTGTATTATCCAAAGAACAAACAGGGCGACTTACATCCTCTTTCCCTAGCACAAAATAACATGTTGCTGTGGATTCAGTATCCTAGTATGGAAACAGCTCTTAGAGAAAACTTCTCTCTTCATTGGGGTGGTCAGTAGAAGCCTTTGTCCTCAGCACTGTCATTCAGATATCACGTGGCCATGCAGGTAGTCCTTGACTTACAACAGAGCATTTAGTGACCGTTCAAAATTACGACAACAAAGAAAAAATATGAGCTACGATCATTTTTCACACTTATGACCGTTAAAGAATCCTCATGGTCACACAATCAAAATTTAGCTGCTTGGCAACTGACTGATATTTATGACAGTTGCAGTGTTGGGGGGGGTGTCATATGATCACCTTTCACAATCTTACGACTACTAGAGGCAGTGGGGAAGCCAGATTCACTTAACAACTGTGTTACTAACTTACCAATTGCAGTGATTCACTTAACAACTGTGGCAAGAAAGGTCGTAAAAGGGGGGGAAGTCATTTAATAACTGTCTCGCTTAGCAACAGAAATCTTGGGCTCAGTTGTCGTAAGTTGAGAACTACCTGTATAAATTATATATACGTTGTATTCACTGAAATAGTAAACACACAGAGGGCAGATTTTATAAAGCCCAATAGTTTTTGTTGAGGTAGACCAGGGTAGGCAACCTTGGCTCTTTTATGACTCATGGACTTCAACTCCCAGAATTCCTGAGCCAGCCATGCTGGCTCAGGAATTCTGGGAGTTGAAGTCCACGAATCGTAAAAGAGTCAAGGTTGCCTACCCCTGAGGTAGACAAACTGATCTACTTTTTAAATGGCTGATGTGACTGGAAGGCATGTACACTACACATACCCCCGTTCAAAATTTGAAGTTAGGTTGAGCTGAGGAGGACCTGTATAGCAGCAGAATAACATGAGAAGAGCCCCTTCCCTTTTCTTCCCCAAAACTCGGTTGTAACTATAGTGTGGGTGATCCAGAAAATAGTAGCTGAACTCATGAAACTCCATTAAATCCTAAACTGAATTAGCTATGTTCAAACAAATACCATGTTGGGCATACCTACATAGGCTTGTCTATAGAATCAGTTAAGATCCACAAGACACTGGGACACAAGAGAGGAGAATATCTATAGCTCAGGTTTGGACTGTGGAATTCTTGGCACTCACTGAGCTTGATTGTTTGCTTACAGACATTACATTACTCAGCTAGGTAATCTCATTGGTGCAAGGTATAACTTCATGTTGTGTGAAGCTAGCCATTGTGTAAGGCAGGGGTCGCCAATCTTGGCAACTTTAAGACTTGTGGACTTCAATACCCAGAATTCCTCAGCCAGCAATGCCAGTAAAGCTGGGCTGAGGAATTCTGGGAGTTGAAGTCCACAAGTCTTAAAGTTGCCAAGGTTGGAGACCCTTGGTGTAAGGGTAATTTTGTCCTTTTCCCATGTTTTGGAATCTCGCTTCCTTTATTCTCGTGTTTTTATTTAAACTAGTTTGCTTTTATTTAATTTTGGTCCAAATCTTCTCTTCTTGTGCTATAGCACCTTGTCTTCCATTTTACTGGACTTGGGGGAGAAAAGGTCAAACGTCTTGATCATGCTGTTGTTCTTTCTGTTGGATTATATCAAATTGTATTAAAACAGAATGGCTTCTGTGTAGATTTTACATGCATTTTATAGAAGCCACTTGATCATTTCACTAAGCCAGTTGTTGCTAGGTGTAGCTGTAGCTGTTGCAAAAGGACTAGAAAAATGCAATCAAACTTTTTTTGCAGAGTTCCAGATTCAGTCCCTAACATCACAGGACAAGAAAGATCTTGAGAATAAGACTGCACAAGACCTTCCCATTGCTATTCCAGCTATGTAGCTATTCTTATTACGATTATTTCTGGACTGCCTTTCCACAAATATCAGCAAGATGGTGTGATATAAATCAACAGACAGAAGTTAATAAAATATTAGATATTAAAACAACATTGTGTTTGTGGATCTAATTATTTTTAGAGCTGCTCTACAGCTATGTACGTGTCCTTATTTCGATTATTTCTGAACTGCCTTTCCACAAATATCAGCAAGATGGTGTGATATAAATCAACAGACAGAAGTTAATAAAATATTAAATATTAAAACAACATTGTGTTTGTGGGGATCTAATGTATTTCTAGAACTGTGCTGCTGTTTCAGCTGATCTCTGGTGCCTATTATATTACATGTGACATGTGCTTTTCTTCTGGAAAATATCTTCTGAATATTTTAATGGTTAAAGTGTAATGCTGTTTTTTTCAGGTGCTTTGCACTGCTCTGAACAGCTTCAGTAAGGGTGGTGTAGAAATACTCTTTTTAAAAGCCACTACTAGCAATTTAATAAGCTAGGTCAGGGGTAGGCAACTTTGGCTCTTTTATGACTCATGGACTTCAACTCCCAGAATTACCGAGCCAGCATGGGTTTTAAAAAGAGTATTTCTGCACCACTCCTACTGAAGTTGTTCAGAGCAGTGCAAAGCACCTGAAAAAAACCAGCATGGCTGGCTCAGGAATTCTGGGAGATGAAGTCCACGACTCATAAAAGAGCCAAGGTTGCTTACCCCTGAGCTAGGTTTTTTAAAAAATATATCGGATTTATTTCAGTGCAAGGTAAGTAAGTCTCATCTTACACTAAGATAAACTGCTTTGATATAAAGCAGTTTCATGCACAATGGCTGGCTTCACATTCTATGTTCATGCACAATGGCTGGCTTCACTTTCTACATTACAGCATGGCTTGGTTTGGTTTGGTTTGGTTTGATTTCATTTAGTTAGATAAGCCAGCTGTGGCTTATTCATTCTTCTAAAGGAGCACAATTTGTGAACCTAGCTTTATAGTGGTGAAATCTGGGAGAATGTCATTCTAAAGCAGAGGGTCTTCAAACCTGGGCCTTTTATGACTTGTGGACTTCAACTTCCAGAATTCCTCAGCCAGCATATGCTGGCTGAGGAATTCTGGGAGTTGAAGTCCACAAGTCATAAAAGGGCCAAGTTTGAAGACCCCTGTTCTAAAGAAAACAAAGCCAGATGTTGGCCAAGTCTACAAAAGACAGCAAACATGAGCAAAATTTCTCAGCTTCCTGCAATTCAGTTGATGCTTTCAGAAGTTGTCTGCCTATTTGCTTGTTACTAGTCATTTTGAACTTTGCAATCAGTGTGACACTTGACCACAGTCATATGAAATGTGCTGTGTGTCATGCCATTTCACTTAACCGTTAGACCAATTTGGAATATCATTGAATATGCAGTAGGTTTTCGGTTGTATTTTTTTTTTCTACTGGTGAAGTATGTTAGATTTCTCCCTTGGGCACTGGAGCCATCTTTCTGCTCCACACAGGCAAAATGTCTTTATTCTTTCTTGGGAGAAGCTGTAAATTAGTTATACATTTCTTTCACACATCTGGGACCATTTCTAGGGCTCATGTTCCAAGAATAGAATATTCTAATATTACTGATCCAATATAGACTTCAGCTCAACTTCTGGTCTTTGCTGTGTTACTGCAGATTGAATTTATTTTGTGTTTGCATAAATTACACACACCTCATTTTGCCAAAATATTAAATTGATGCTGAATAGCATTTGAATAAATTCTGTGGCATGCTAAACTTGTATTAATTAGAAATGAAAAGTTTGGCAATATTTCAAATTGGGGGGGAAGGTTGGCACTAATGAAAATTATCAAGATTAAGTTATTTGATTTAAAAAATAGTTTTGCGTTCATGCTGCTTTTCTGAATAGGAATTTCCAGCTTGGTTTATTTTAGCCCTAGTGAGTTGAAGTCTACAAATCCACAGAGTTGGAAAAGACTTTGGAAGTTTTCTAGTCCAACCCCCTGCTCAGGCAGAAAACCCTATACCGGTGATGGCAAACCTTTTAGAAATCAAGTGCCCAAACTGCAACCCAAAACCCACTTATGTATCATCGGGTGCCGGGTGGGCGTGGCCCATTAGGGGGGTGTGGCCCATTGGGTGCGCGTGGCTGCAGTAGTAATGGCAGACTGAGTGGGATAAAAAGTTCAATCAATCAATTCCAACTTTGTGAGATCTTTTTTTTCTCCGCTAAAAGTTGAAATTGATTGATTGAATCTTTTTTTTTTTTTTTTTTTTTTGCACATGGAGGCGGAGGCCTAAAGCGAAAAGGTTTTATAAAACCCAGCTGAAGGCCTAGGACTGGGGCGACAGTGCGTGTGCTCACAGAGGCCCTATACCATTTCAGAACACACTTAAAAATAATGAATCACATAAAAATTAAACAAGACTAAAATGAAGAAAGAAAACAAGAAAGACTTTTTGAATAAGCTAACTGGAATTCTGTGTTTGAATATAGTCATTCTTTAAAAGATTAAACATCCCCATAATGCTGCTGTAGCAATTTACAGTTCCAAAAAAATAATAATACTGCAATCTTAAAGTCCATGGCAATTAACTTGATCTTATACTGTTTTCAGAGGATCCAAGTCTCACATATAACAATACTCATAATTAATAATCCTGAGTATTATGGCCTCTACAGGCTTCTTTGGTTATTTAAGGGGATAGAAAATTGCTTTTTTTTCATGGTAGACACAGCCTTCAGTGTTTTGCTATATGGGCAATACATGTTTGTAGAAGAAAAGTACCATGTATAGAAAAGACTTAAATATCTGTTTCTGTCTATGGTTCTTCTTATTAAATATCCCTAAATATCTTATCTAAATGTAAACATTGCAGGAAAAATTAAAAATCCTGAAACCATTCTATATTCATCAGAATCATAGCCACATTTATTACCAAATTATTATATAATCTTACACTTCTTCCTTAAAAATAACTATCTGGTTGAATTCTTGATTGGTTTGATGTCCAGTATATGTATTTTTGTTTGGGGGAGATTTACAGCAGAATTGGAAAATCTGTAACCTGACTGTTTGCAGTGTTTGTAAGCCATCCCTACCATTAGGGTATTTTATTCAACAAGGAATAAAAGCAATCAAAGAACAAATTAAACTTGCCAAAGCCAGTACAGTATGATACAATAATTGAAAATCACCGACAGCCATCCCAGGTCCACAGAATGATAAACAAAGCCTTGTTGGGTTTGGATCATGTTCATAGCACAGGGGCTACTACTAAACGGACCTACTGTCTGACTTGCATCCCTTTAACTTCTTATGGGGTGAGGCCTTCTGCAGTGCAACCGATATATTGTCTCCTATGTGCATTGTATTGCTTCTTATATGACTTGTATTATTAACATTTACCTACGTAATTGGACTAACTCGAGTGTTGTCTCTTGAAATTTAATGTGTAAATTGTCCTTACCCAGCTTCCTTTAAACCCTTTCTGTGTAAATTGTCCTTACCCAGCTTCCTTTAAACCCTTTAAACCCTTGTCTCTTGTGCTTCACTCTTTCCAGTTCCGAGATTGGCTTAAAGCAAACTATGGCGAAAACCCTTTGCAAGACAATCAAGAAGCCCAAGCTCTTCTGCAGAAGTACAGACTCCATGCAGCGGATCCTTACAAAGAGTTCAGGAAGGCAGTAGAATGATATTCTTGCTTCGGTGACTGCAGATCATTTATTGTAATGTTCAGGATATAGTTACAACTAAGCAGGGCAACTTGCACCCACATCTTCCTGCACCTGCCGAAAAAGGATTGCTTGAAAAGGAATAATTGGGGGGAGGGGCACAGGGGCTATTTGGGTTGTTATAGTACACCTTTCTTTAAATATTCGAGGAGCGGGACTCCAGAACGTGGACCCTGTTATACTCATGGTTGATCTTGCCTTTATTATGTGGAGGGCCTACTCTTTTCCAGCGGTGTGAAAACAGCATGCCGCACTCTGATGGCCAAATACACTTTTACAGATCCCTGCTCTTCAGGCTGCCTGCAAAGACAGGGTTTGGCACAGCTGCACTTTTTAAATTATGTAGGGTTTTTCTAAAGGAGGGGGGAATGTGTACCCCAGGGAGCGACTTGTACTCAACGGGAGTTCTGGTTTCGCTACAGCCAGGCCCAGAGCAGAAGAAGCAGCCTGTTTAAAATAGCAGCGATGTTCTTCAGCAGTGAGAAAACGTTGCAACCAAATTAAGCAAGGTTCTGTTTATATGCATGGTTGCTACTCTCGTGCATATATCTTCATTTAGAAACGATTTTTAAAAGAGATTCCTCTCAAATGTTTGTTTGAATCAACTCCAGCAAAAATATTACAGATAATGTTGCAGTATTTATTGCCTTAGTGTTTGTCTCAGACAAGTTGCTCACTCTCTTTCTTTCATCCTTTTAATACTTCAACAGTGGAGGACTCTGAAAGTATATTGGAATGTACAGAATATATTTAAAGATTAAGAAAGAATTGTCATGGCTACTGTGCTATAATAATGTTGAAAATTCCCCCAAAATATTACTGACTAAAATATTTTATTGTATATTGGTTATCTTGATGAAGTTTCATGTTTGACTGCTTTCCTCAGTGGAATATATTCAATAAAAGCTTCAGTTTTTTTAAAAAATAAAGTGTGATAATATGTTGCCACTTTTAGAGATTACCAATAATTGGTAAAGAGAAAACGTTAAATCAGTGGTCCCCAACCTATACAGCTTGGTGGCCCGGGGGGGGGGAAGGGGAACCAGCCCGCCGCTTGTGCAAGTTGAACTGCGTACCCGCCCATGTACCGGTCAGCTGCTTGCATGGCCCGGTTCCAAATAGGCCACAGCCCAATAGTGGACCACAGTCCAGGGGTTGGGGACCCCTGCATTAAATGGTCAAACAGAAGAGAATATTCTGCAAAGACTGGAAATTATATTGGAAATGATTTGGTCTCTGAATTATATCCCACACTAGAAGGGAAAAAAATTCTTTCAGCTTCATGCTTCTCATTACATCATAGAATCTGACATTCTCTGCAGATCATTTGGATTCTTGGCCAAGAGCAAAGCATTGCCTTTTTATAAAAGTACACACACACACAAAGATTGACATTCCTAAATGCATCCCAAAAACTAAAGGGGCATTACCTTTCCCTGTCATACTCCATAGTCAATGTTGAAACACCCACAATGCATTTAATACAGTACAGTCCTGTGTGTGTTTTTACTTCTCTCATATACTGCTTTTATCATGTTTAGTGATCAACTTGCAATTCTATATTCACATAAAATGTTCCATTATTCAAATGTTTTGAATTTTATATATTTATTTAAAACACGTATGGCTGCCCAGCTTCAATAAAGCATGAGTGCTTAAAATATATAGTACTTTATACTGAAAATATAAAGTAATATAATGGTGAGCCAATGCACCATCATCCAATTGGAATAGCAACATATCATGATCGAAAGACCCAGGAAAGAGCCAGGGCCTTTTAAAGCCCAGTATGGTCAGAGTCAACTGAAGGTCAGGAAAAAGATCATAAGATGGGGGCCACCATACACCCAATTGGAGCACACGGGGCAGGCAGATAGCCTAGGGATCCTGCAAACAGCATCTTGCATTGCATCAGAAGCCTACTGGGAATCAGTATAGTTGGTAAAGTAATGTTGTCACATGGGAATAAGTACTCGTGCTGCATTCTGGACCAATTGTACCTGCCAAGTCTTCAAGGGCAGTCCCATGAACAGTTGTTGACAGATGGGTGACCATAGAAACTGAATGAATATAAAAAAAAATTAAGTTCAACAAGAATTAGATCAAACACAGTACTAAATACATGAACAATTCAGAAGTGAGATTTCCCTTACTCTATCAGAAATCTCCAGTGTAAAGTTCCCCCATTGGACCCCCAGCCAAGTTTGGAGACCCTTTCAGATATCCAAGAGGGTGGGGGTGGATTTCACTTCTAGCAGCCAAGTTCCCAAGGGTGGGGGCCACAGCAGAAAAGGTTCTCCTATACCCCACCAGCTGAAATTTCTCAA